TATTAAAGTGCATTGATTTTCAAGCGACAGTATCCCATACTATACAAGGTCGTTGATTTATCATTCTTCACGCATGTTGTTTATTAGCCTACTTATTCATACAATTTTTATTCCAGGTTTACCGATTTAAACCCCCCACACAGCTAGTACAAGGCCTATCAAGAATTATTTGAACCAGACTGAACGCCCTGGCTGTTCATTAGAACTGAAGTAGTCCAGCCTCCCGATACTGTACATTCAAATAGATACTCACAATGCGACTGACAATGTTCACATATTTTCATCTGTAGAGCATCTCATTAACGTCTGAGTTAATCATTTTATCTGAGCCCGATAGACTTAATGATCCAAAACACAGTGCATAAAGCTCGCCTTTGTCTGGCTCCACACTGCGCTTGAATAAAACCAACATAAACTTTTCTTTTGTGTGTTTTTAAAGTCTGAATAAAGTTATTTCATGTGGCAGGGCTCCAAAAGCGACTCATCCACTGTGGAAGGAATCAAATCATTAGCATTACATTTCGTCTTTTTGTTTAAACTAATGGCCCATTAACTCCTGATAGCTCTCCCTGCCCCCACTCACACATTATCAGAACTGTGTTTCAGTCTCTCAGTCTGCTGCTTTCAACACACACAAGACACACGAGTAAACTTAAGCCTGTGGAACACTGCTTAATTTTTTCGTTTGGTAAAATGTGGGTGTCATTTTTCTAAGATATGAAAGAGACAAGCCTGAAGAACGCCTTAGATTCAGGTTCTGGGTCATTAGTTTTCCATTTTTTTACCCAAGTTTACTGAATGCGACATGCTATTGAATATGCTACATTTCTTCGTTTGGACGTTTTAACAAAACTGCAGTTTGTCATGTTACTTGATATGCAGAGTAGATTCAGTGTGCTGCATTTAATTTTATAATGACAGAAGCATCTGTGCGGCGAAGTGCATGCAGATGCAGAATCGCGCAGAAGACAGACCCAAAACTTGAAAACAAACCGCAAACAGAATTAAAGTTCCTCCAAATGCATTATAATGAAAGGGCACACTTCTACTGCGGATGGAATCAAATCATTAGCATTACAGTGCCTCTTTTGTTCAAACCAATGGACCATCAAACAGCTCTCCCAGCTCCTCCTTCATCACATATGGGCAAACATTCAGTGCACAGAGACATAACCTGTGACAGAGTTTAGAGCCATGCACAGATGATCCCCTTTCAAAGACAAATAAAACTTTATAATGAAATTTGTACAATAACTGAGCAGCTTCTGTGCCCCGGCCATAATCGCTGCACAGCTGATGGTGCACACGCCATGATGCAGGCTGGAGTAGCCGTGCCAAGTGCTGAGAAAGTACATTAAAAAGATAAACTGGGGACACCGTTTCAACATTCTCCTCTGTTTAGAGGACGTCTTTCATTGTTATTATTACAGAGACATGAAAGCAATACTCACTAAAATAAAGAAGAAAATGTGTAAAGAGTTTGTACATTAAAATTTAAGTTATTGTTGAGTGAAGAAAGAATGAATACGTTTAATTTCATGAAGAAAATCACAGAATATCTCACACATTATCAGAACTCAGTGTGACGTTTTTCTAGCTGGATTAGCAAAATATATGAAAGATGAACTGGTCTCCTTTGATTTGCCATCCTTCATTGATGATTTAATTGAACTGACTTGCAGAGTTGATAGGCACATCCAGGCAAGTAGACAGGAGCGACACAAGAGGGAGACAGATCGCTGCTCTCGGACGGACATTGCTGGTCCTGACTCCATTCTCCCTCCTTCATGTCTGGTTGCTCCACTGGCCTGCAAGGTGGAGGAAAGAGTCAAGGAGGTCCTGGAGGATCAACCTGGACCCAGTTCCTGCTCTTCTGACCGCCTGCTCATTCCTCAGCCTCTGAAGTCAGATGTACTTCAGTGGGCACACAGCTCCAAACATACCTGCCATCCTGGGGTCCAGCGCACCAAGGAGTTCTGGTGGGACACCCTGGAGAAGGACACCCGGGAGTTTGTTGGTGCCTGTCCTGTCTGCAACCAGCACAAACCATCTCACCAGGCTTCTGCTGGTCTTCTGCAACCTCTGCCTGTGCCCCATCGCCCCTGGTCCCACCTCTCTCTGGACTTTGTTGCTGGTCTTCTGCCGTCCAACAACAACACTACTATACTAACGGTGGTAGATCAGTAAGATCAGTAAAATGTAAAATGGCCCATTTTGTGGCATTGCCCAAGCTCCCCTTGGCCAAAGAGACTGCTGAACTCCTCCTGCTCCACGTTTTTCATCTCCATGGCCTAACAACTGACATGGTCTCTGACCGGGGGCCCTAGTTCAGTTGTGTTTTCTGGAGAGAGTTCTGCGCACTGATTGGGGCCACGGTCAGCTTGTCTTCTGGGTTTCACCCGCAATCCAATGGCCAGACTGAAAGGAAGAACCAGGAGATGGAGGTGGCTCTGCGGTGCATGGTCTCCAAAGAACCGTCTACCTAGTCTCAACAGTTGTTGTGGGTCGAGTACGCCCACAACACCATGGTCAGCTTGGCCACAGGACTCTCCCCTTTCCAGTGTGCTTATTAGTACCAGCCTCCTCTGTTTCAGGCCCTGGAGAAGGAGGTTTCCTGCCTGTCCATTGAGGCCTTCATCCGCCGCTGCCACCGGACCTAGTCCCAAGCTAGAACCTCTGTCCTCCACTCTGCTGACCGGTACACCATAGCTGCCAACAGTCACCGCACTGAGGCTCCCAGCTACCAAGTGGGCTTGAGGGTGTGGTTGTCGACTCGGGACCTACCTTTGCAAGGGGATTCCAAAAAGTTGTCACCCAGATTCATCGGCCCAGTGGTGTCATCAACCCAGTGGTGGTACGGCTAAAGCTCCCTCGATCCATGAGAATCCACCCAACATTCCTTGTGTTCAAGGTGAAGCCTGTTTGTGAGAGTTCTTTGGTCCCAGCGGCTCTGCCGTCCCCTCGCCTAATTGTTGGGGGTCCAGCATTCTCTGTCCGACGCCTTCTTTGTTCCCGCCGTCTGGGCCTTGTTATCCAGTATCTGGTGGACTAGGAGGGGTATGGTCCCGAGGAGAGGTCGTGGGTACCGGCCAGACACATCCTTGACTCCCAACTCATCAGGGACTTCCACCAGCTGCATCCTGACCAACCCACGATGACTACCAGGCGGGGTAAGAAGCCGGCTCCTCCACCTGCACCTCTGGATGAGGAGGGGGCATCTTCTGATTCTGAGGGGTCATCTTCGGCTAACGAGGGATCCCACCTCCAGACCCAAACCAGATCATTGATACGAGAAGACGATCTTCACACTGCAGGCGCGTACCACTTGTATTATATATATATTATATTTCTCACATCATGCCCCAAATATCAGGCTGTGAGAGAGGAATACTTCCCCAAAATAACACATGTAAACCATGAGTTTGAACACACTCAAACACTCCAAAATCTGCTTGAAGAAAACACAAACTGTAAGGATTATAGAGGCAAACTGTATAACAGCCTGTCAGAACCTAAGGACAACCAATGGAACCTGAGACACAAAACACTATAGACACGCCCTGAATATCTTTATAACAATAAATAACACTTTTATTTACATCAATCAACCTAACGAGCATGTCTTTGGACTGCAGAGGAAGCCCGAGTACCCGCAGGTGACCCACGCATGCACGGGGAGAATATTCATACTCCACAGAATGGCTACTGTCCTATAGGGATTTGAACCAGGATCCTCCGTGCTCTGAGGCAACATTATTTTTGAACTCCAGTAGAATTTTGTTGACATGATGTAAAAGAAGGCATTAATACCTTTCTCGTAGAGGATTTAGTCTTGCTTATTACAAAATATTCCAATAAATGTTATGTAAAATATAACATAGTCAATAGACTGTAATAAGATGAAAAGTAAAATCAATTCATGGTGTAAATTAAATAATTTGGAATTCCATACTCTGTGATAGGGTTAAAAGAATCGCAAACTAGCTAGGACTGGTAATGAAAACTAGGTCAAATGTGAGAAGGGTGCAATTATTAGCCTTCATACTTAAATTCATCCTTCATGGTTAATTGAAGTGCTGCTTTGTTGTTTTTATCTCTGCTTTGTAAGGTGACCTTGAGAGTTTTGAAAGGCGCCTTTAAATAAAATGTATTATTATTTTTTTACTGTATTAAACTTCTCCACATTTTCAGGTATTTGTTCTCCTTTAAACAGAATGTATTTGTCAAGAGTGACAAGCGCTTGAGTAAGAGAGAACTTTAGAGCTTGAAGACTTTAGTACTGCACTAAACTTATTCTTCAACTCTTATTACTAAATTACCATTTAGGTAGTCTACCATTCAAATTATTTTCAACAATGAAGTTGTAAATTTCTGAATGTAAATGAAGTGCCCATAGTATTTGAGTAAGTAGCATCAATATAGAGGTTGATTATCATAAGGATGGCCTCCTAACCTTGGTTCAAGTGTGGCTAAATGTCTCCATATCCAGACAAATCTTAAAGAATATCTAAATATTATTTACTGATTTTCTATATGGTAAAATGGCATGCAATAAATTAAAATGTATGAGTTGTGGCAGCAGAGCTGATATTACACAATCAATAATAAGCATAATTTTTATTTTCACAAGTTACACTTAGTGAAGAAACGTAAACTATCTTGACTTTGAGTTATGTTGTTACAATTTTAAGAAGTTATGAGCAAGTACTGGTGGTGGTTATGGAGCTTGTTTACTCATAATTCACATTTGGCTCTGTCCTGTGGCTTTGCTCTTTTAACTGAAAATACATATTTTTGTTCACTTGCTATCATTGCTTTTCAGCAAAATGGGGAAGGGCTTCATATTGGTCTAAGCCTGGGGCCTACAAATAACTAAAACTGCCAAAATTGTTTTGATCTAAAAATCTCCTCTGAATGTTGTATGGGAAGCTTTTTATTTGTCCTTTATTTAACATAGACTTCACTGGCTGTTGCAATTAAATGAGAGAATGAAGTCCTACCTCTTAATGCTGGATGCCAGTGTATTGACAGGGTTCCATGTGACACAGTCCAATTTAGAGGCCATTTGATATAAATTTCCTCCACTGTTGAAGAAAAAAATGTAGAAACAACTTATGAGTAGTGCAGCAAACTGTTATTTAGACAGGTTAAGTGTAGTGTTTATTTTTAGCCATATCGTTTTGCACTGTGAATATATATATTTAAATTATCAATCTAAGCACACCTTTAATGTAAATACTGAAAACTCTACCTCAGGTAAATTAACCCATCTGTCACATGATTAAAATGTTTTGTTCAGCATCTTTTGCACTACTCACCACTGCACGGTTGTCTTATTTAGTCTTGCACATATTAGTCATTGCTATTTTGTGTTTATTGTATAAATTAAATGTTATACTTTGTACATAGAGAGCACAGTTCACCAAAGAAAAAATCCTTGTGTGTGGAAGCATACATGTCCAATAAAGCTGATTCTGATTCATATTGCCTCTAATTGTTTCAATAGAGGTGAATTCCCTCAAAGAGTTCAGCTGATGTGGAAAGAAAAAAACAATGTTTAACAGATAACAGGCATCTCTCATTTAACACCACACATCCCCCAACAGGGACGTGCACTGAATTTAAGAGGGGCAGTTGCCCAAATTGACAAAGGAGTTATTTTTTAGTAAGTAATTCACTAAATATATGCCTTGAATGACTACTTTTGTGACACTCTTTAACGGACATTAAAATATATTTATTTGAAACAAACACATGACTAAGGGAAGTTCAAAAGTGATAAATGACCGTTAAAAGTAATACATGCCAAAAATGTATACTGTAGGAGCCATTTTTGGAGTAGGAGTATGTAGAATTTGTCTGTATTCAATGTGTATGCTTTGAAGAAGAAATACATATATAAACTTGTAATTAAATATAAATGTGAATAACTTTTATTAGTATATTCATTTTTAGCTTGTTTGGTTATTTAGTTCATTATTATGAAATAATTATTGTTATAATCAGAACACTATTTTTTCTCATGCTTTATTAAGGAAAATAAATACAAATAATGATCCATAATTGCTCACTTAACAATGAAGAGGTAGAGGCAACAAACTGTACGCAATTCTTTTGCCTTGATAATCCTAAAATATAAAACATATAGCACTGCACAGGAAACATGACACATTTGTGCATGGTGGGGTTGTGGAGAAAGCAGAAGCTAAGAAAGAGGCCAGATATGAAATCAAGAGGGCTAGGCTCCAATATAAGAATAAAATAGAGGACAGTGTGGGATGGCATGAAAAACATGAAATGGGGGGATCAACATGGGCAGTTTTAAATCACACACAGAGCTTGCAAATGTACTGAATGATTTTTATTACTGCAACCTCTCAAACTCAGTCTAATGCTAGTATAAGTGTCCATTCAGTCAGATCCATGTTTAAATGATGTAACATATATATATATATATATATATATATATATATATATATATATTTTCTCCCCCTGAGTCAGGGCAAACCTGTGCGTAATTAAATACCAAATTTTATGTTCTGACCATACTTCTTTCTGTGCGCGGGTTCTTCAGCCGCTTAGGTGGTGGCCTGGATGTGAGCAGCTGTTGTCTTTCCTTTTATTTATCAAGTTGAGCAGTGTGCGTGAGTGATTTTGTCTCTTTTACAGGTTATACTGCTTTTCCTATTTACCTATGTGGTATGCACATAACGACTTTCATTCCTGTCAATGTTGTTTGTTCATTTGTTTATTATGTTTGTCTCGTCAATTTTCATTATTATTATTTATTTGTTTTTATTTGGTTATTGTATTTTATTTATTTTTTCTGTGAGTTTTCCAATACCTGCAACAAGGATGAATCAAATGGGTCTCTCTGTGGTCTACTTCGATGGATATCAAAAGGTGACTTTTGATCACAAAAAAGTAGTAAAGAACTAAACACTGAACTGAACACATCTTTTGTCCTAATAACCTTCATGTCTCCATCTACTGTTCATCATGGACACCAGCGCCATTAAGGGAATCTAAACAAAGATTTATCTGTCTTGGGGCTTTTTTATCTGTAGTTACCACAATAAACAGAACACACATACAAACTTTGAGCCTAAATACTTCAAACACTGATACTGATCACGTTTTGTAAAATTGTCACTCTATAATGACGAGTAAATACATGTCACTAACACACATTGACCACCTGGTCATCAAACAGGAACCAGAATTCAGTGGAAATCGTCTGCTTTATAGTAAAACAAATTGAAATTAATAGTATAAATTCAATGCTGCACATACGATTACAAAATGCATGACAATGATATCATTCTTAAGAACTGAGTAGCCTATAGTTAAATGGTGTTCAGGATTTTGTGATGCAGGTGGAGACCAACTTTGAACAACATGGCTGTTTGGCGAGAAAGCCTAGCTTGTTTCCTTGAAAGACCATTTGAGTCCAGATGAGATCATAAACATAAGTAGATGAATCTTGAAAAAATGGGTACTTGGTTGGCACTTCAGGCCTCATAACTATGTTAAACTCTGAATGAAAAAGTAAATACAATATTGATTTACAGAAATATCCACTTTAACAGTTAAGAGATGTAATGCTTACGTTATTAGATCTAAAGTGTTCATATTCCATATTAAGAAAAGTAATCTTAAACATGTTATGGCTAATCTTTCTAACCTAACGTGAAGACGTTTTTGAGAAGCAAATAAGTGGGCTATGACTGGGAATCATTTCATAGGCCTTTTAGATTTAGGATTAAGACAACTTTGGTTGGTATTTCTTTAATCTGACGGCTCAGTCGGTTTAAAAACATGCAACAATTAAGGAAATGAATGTATCGTAATAGTACTCAAATGAAACATACGTCTAATGACCCTTAACAACAGCACGCAAGAAAACATAATTTTTCAACCTTTCTTTTTCATTTGTAGCTGTAGCCTTAAAAAGGCTACCTATATTTATAAACGTTTATACAGGCGACAAGTGAACAACGCTGCGTAGCCTAGGCCTTTTTTAAATTCTGCTGGACATTATATGCTGTTTGGGGCTATCCAATGAGAACAGTGTTGGGGAGGCGTCGGACATCCGTCCCATTCCACAGTCCGTAGCGAGGACCCACCCGTTTTGACTGCAAAGCAAGGCCACACCCCACCAGGTGGGTGCTAGTTGCATTTGTGAAGTGACTTTTTTTGCAGTCAGCAATGTTTTAATAAAGGTCGGGACAGTTTGATACACAACAGGAAAATAATAACGGCATTTGAAGTTTGTGTTTTGCCTTCAAAGACCTAACAGTGGACCTCTCTCTCTTAAAGAGTGTGGAGATGTCCTTTTTTTTTTAAATGACATTTCTTCCCCTCACAGCCTGAGGCCCTGCTATTGTCTATGCTCACCGTTTTAAGCTACCTGCAGGTAAAATTGTATTGTTATGTGTACCTGTATACAGTTAATGTTACAGATAAAACTACAACCACTGAGAGGCTGCTACAATATAAGTAGAACATTAGCTGGTGAAAACAAGGACACTGATCTATTTAAAAACTATGTACCTGGTGTCTGCTATGACTCCATGTAACAGGAGGCACAGGCAATCACACACAATTTCACACCTGATTTCGCAACGTAAAAGTACCAGTGCCATGGGACCATTCTTTTAATTTCAGTTGATAAGACACAGAACTCCACCAATCATATGCCTTGCTTGCAAAATGTATCAATGCATTTGCAGGCAAGTTTCAGACTGTCCTCTGCATGCTCTGACCTAGCCCCACATTCTATTCCTCTGAACTCCTCAAGCAGAATCTGCATTCAAGGCACTCAAGTCCAGGTTTGTCCTGAAGTGTCTGATGTAACTAGGACAGAGATAATATAAGTTTACAACGGGTGCGTCTTGTGATAGTATCTGAAGGAGATTTAGGAGTCCCCTCAGGTGGAATGTTTAAATTGAGGTATTGTATAGGAGTATTGCCACATGTGGTTGTGTAACGTGATGTTTTATGACCCATGACGAAAAGCGGATGTTTGGATGCATATAAGCAATTGTCTCTGTGTGTTCGAGAGAGATCATTATTGGCTTCTTGATCCTCCTGGTCAGACGTGACCAGTGATTCTGTTTCTTGCTTAAATAAAATTATACTCTTTGAAAGCAAGTCAGTCTCAACGGCGAATTTCTTCATCATCAAACATATCAACAACAAGGAAATCCACATCAATTTTGGCGTCACGAACAGGATCAGTTGGGGCCTTCTGCAGGGGACCACAGCTTGTTTATTATTTCCATCACTTCGTAAGTGTTTCTTTCTTTTTTTTTCTACACATATTGCGGAGCTGTTTCTGTCGTCTATCGGCAATTTTGGCCGCACTGTCAAAGAACTGAAGTGCAATGATGTGTTGATGTTGGAGTAATTCTCCGTCTAAATTGGGGTTTATTGAGTTAAAAAGTATATAGATAAAGGGGAATAAAATAAAGAAGAGATAAATAAGAGAAGAAGAGATAAAAAGTTGAAAGGTAATGATAGCATAAGCGCAACTAGTAACGAGACCAGTTAGCTAAAAAACTATGCAAGTTTAACAAGGACAGGGCCCGTATCCTCTTAACAGTAAGTCATGTGTAAATTAGACACTGAAGTGAAAGTTGGCTTTAAGAAGTAGTCAAATTTGAGTAAAAATAAAACAAAGGGGATCCCTGGCCAGGGTATTTGAATAGATGATAAACGTATAATGTAGGAAAATAAAAGAGAAGAAATAAAGATGAGAAGTGTAAAGATGAGAAGTAAAAAGATGAAAAGTGAAGATAAGGAATAAAGATAAGAGTTTTGAGAAAAGTGGGAAAAAAGCGCTGAGTAAAGGAAAAAGTGTGCATTGAAGCATGCAGTGTGAAGTAATTTGTTAAAAGACAATTTGTTAAAAGTTTGACAGAAGTAAAAATTTGATAGAGGAAAATTATAAATGAGTCGACTTCAAAATCTGAACTGAAGTGTGTGTGGCTGTTGAAGGGCTCTGTCTCTGTCTGTGTCTTGTCTCTTGTGTTGTGATTTGGATGGTTTTGAGAGGTCTGTGTGGTGTGAAGATGTGTATTTGATCCGGAAATGTTCTTGTATATGTGTG